GATTTATGTTCTGACAATAGTATACTTTTCTTGGCATTGTATTTATTGAGAAGCTAAATGGTATATTGTGCTTTCAGCACATGACTGACATGCTTGACAAAAAGTGAAATTTTTTTCACAGGTTTAGAGAAGCCAACAGACTTTCTTTCAAATCTAGTTGCTGCTAGCAACAATGGTTTACTTTTATGCTTTACGCCACTCCTAAAACTTTAAACTATGTTATTGAAATGACTTGGTAAACACTAAAATCTTATTATATCATAATAACTATGCAAATAACAAGCTAGCTTAACTCCAGATCCCTATAAAATTTAGCAGAAAAATAAAATACTTAGATATTTTTTCATCTTATTCAAAACATTCATCAGCTACACCACCTAGTGAGGCACCAAGACTAGTCCTCCTTCATTTCAATTATGTAGTTTGTTTTTTCTTCTCAAGTGATCTTGATATCTTCAATGATTTTAGCTCATCTATCAACTACATCAAGTTGTTGTAAGAGGATCCCCCCTCCTATATAGTTTTCTTGTCAGCATCACCAAGTTTTCTGGCTCGCTTTCTCATTTCTTTGTTCTCTTCTTCTCTTCCCATGAACCAAACCACAGCCTCAGTGATCTCTCCCCTTCTCACCATTGGACCCTCACCTATGTTGAACAAAAACTTATTTCCTTTTGATCCCACTGGGACTCCAATCTTCAAGACATCAAATCACTTTTGGAGGGTCATTTTGGTCAGCACTTGGCGCTGATTTTTTGATTTAGCAGGTAGTCCCAAAATACCACATTGGAAGTGGTATTTTGGAACAGTAACTTTCATCACAATTTCAACACAAATCTCAATTCCTAAGCAACATATTTTCCTGGAATAATTTTTGTCAAACTTGTACCAAACATGGTATTTTCCAATACCTACCCACACTTGCCCAGCAATCCCAAAAAAAAAAACTTGTACCAAACATCCCCTTAGAGGGAACAAAAAGATCTCATTTCGGGTGCAATAAGAGTATCTACTCTTTTGCCAAATGGAAAAAAATATGGTATATGGATGTAAATAAACATAAAGATAAAAATTGTTTAAAAGTGTAATTTTTTTCCGTATTTAATAAAGGGGGTTACTTTTCTCATGTAGTATGAGAGAAGTTCTCTCGTGTTAAGAGAAAAATAAAGTGGGCCCACCCAATTTTTAGAAAAAAGAAAAAAAAAGACACATTTTTTTGAAGTGAGAGTAACATAAGAGATCAATCTCATCCAACATAAGAGTATGATTTCTCTTTAATAAATGATATACGTAATACTTAATACAATGGTGATACATGAATAAGAATGTTACATTTGATTAGAGAAGCTAAAATGTTAAGTCCAGGATAAGCAAATTCGTCTTCTGATTTCAAAGCACAATTTCAATTGGGTTTAGAAGTTATTTTGGGTCAAATTATGATTAGTTGGCTGCCTTAATGGGTCAATTATGAAGGAAGATAAAAAAAATTTGGCATTTAAAGTTCAATAAAGAGTTTTTTTGTTGTTATTAACTCTTGGAAGTTGGGATTAATTATTGTTATTTCTATTTCCTAAGCAACACAATTCTTGGGAGTTGGGTTTAGTTATTGTTATTTCTATTTCCTAAGCAACAACTCTTGGAGTTATATGTCTCTTTGTATTCTCATGCTTTTAGTTATTCTATAAATATGGGATATTTTGTAATGCAGAGGACATATTTGATAAATGAAAAAGTGTGTTACAAGTTCTCAAACTTATCTTGAATCTTGTTATCTTTATCTAACCTTGGGTTAGTGGTGAGGTGAGTGGGTTCTTTTTTTATAGAAGGTTTATTAAAGATTTTAGCATCACCATGGCTCCCATCACTGAATGCATGAAGGCAGGTTCCTTTGAATTGACTAAGGCTGCTGATAATGCCTTTAATCCATCCAGAAGAGACTTTACGAAGCACCAGTTTTAGCAATGCCCAATTTTGATGATCTCTTTATAGAATGTGATGCTAGTGTAGTTGGAATTAGGGCTGTCTTAGTGCAATCTAAGCGTCCCATTGCATATTTTAGTGAGAAGTTTAATGGCTCAAGGCAAAAATACAACACTTATGATAAAGAGTTCTATGCAATTGTGAGAGCTCTTGATCATTGGAGTCATTATCTTCGTCCTAAGCAGTTTGTGTTGCATTCTGACCATCAAGCACTTAAGTTTATTAATGGGCAGAACAAGTTAAATCCAAGGCATGCCAAATGGGTTGAATTTCTACAATCCTTCTCATTTGTATCCAAACATAAATCTGAAAAGTCTAATATTGTAGCTGATGCGCTTTCAAGAAGATATTTTCTCTTATCCATTGTTGAAGCAAAGGTTCTTGGTTTCCATTTGATTAAAGATCTTTACAAAGATTATCCAAATTTTTCTCATTTCTTTGAAGACAAGAAAAATGGAATTTCAAGCCCATATATGATTCAAGAAAGCTTTCTTTTCAAAAACAACAAGTTATGCATCCCAAAAAGTTCTTTGAGTGATTTTTAGTAAGGGAAGCTCATGGTGGAGCAGTAGCTGGTCATTTTGGTATCAACAAAACTCTTGACATCTTGCAAGAGCACTTTCATTGGCCTAAGATGGTAGGAGATGTTCATAATGTTATGTCAAAGTGTTCTATTTGTCACAAAGCAAAGAGTCAATTCCACCAAGGGTTATACACTCCTTTACCTGTTCCAAATCAGCCATGGATGTAAGTATGGATTTTATTATGGCATTACCTCGTACTCAAAGAGGTAAAGATGCTTTCAAGGTGGTTGTTGATCGTTTCTCAAAGATGGCTCATTTCATTCCTTATACAAAATCAGATGATGTTTCTCATGTGGTTGATCTTTATTTCAAGGAGGTTCTCAAGCTTCATGGAGTACCAAAAACCATTATAAGTGATCGAGATTCTAAATTCTTAAGTCATTTCTGGAGGTGTTTGTGGAAATTATTGGGTATTAAGCTTTTATGTAGCACAACTTTCACCCTCAAACTGATGGGCAAATTGAAGTCACAAACAAAACACTTACAACTCTTTTTAGAGTTATAGTGAGTAAAAGTCTTAAAGATTGGGATATTAAACTTTTCCATGCTGAATTTGCATATAATAGAGCTCCATCTTATGCTACGGGAAACTCTCCTTTTGAGATAAACTATGGAGTAAACCCTCTCACTCCCATTGATTTAATTCCTCTTCCAATAGAATCCCAAGTGAGTTTTGAAGCTGAAGAACGTGCTAAAGCAATGTAATGGCTCCATGAACAGGTCAAGGTCAGAATTGAGGAAATTAATGAGTTGTACAAACAAAAGGCAAACAAGCCTCGCAAATCACAGTAATTCAGTCCTGGAGATCTAGTTTGGCTCCATTTGAGGAAGGAAAGATTTCCTTCGAAGAGAAAAAATAAATTGATGGCTCCGGAAGATGGTCCCTTCAAGGTGATTAAAAAGGTGGGAGATAATGCATATAAGTTGGAGTTACCCGGATAAACCAATATTTCTACAACTTTCAACATTGGTGATTTAACTCCATACTTAAGTGAAAATGAAGACCACGAGGATTTGAGGACAAATCCCAATCAAGAAGGGGAGGATGATACAAGAGTAAGAATGTTACATTTGATTAGAGAAGCTAAAATGTTAAGTCCATGATATGCAAATTCGTCTTCTGATTTCAAGGCACAATTTCAATTGGGTTCAGAAGTTATTTTGGGTCAAATTATGATTAGTTGGCTGCCTTAATGGGACAATTATGAAGGAAGATAAAAAGTTTTAGCATTTAAAGTACAATAAAGAGTTTTTTTTATTGTTATTAACTCTTGGAAGTTGGGATTAGTTATTGGTATTTCTATTTCCTAAGCAACATAATTCTTGTGAGCATGACTCTTGAGAGTTGGGTTTAGTTATTGTTATTTCTATTTCGTAAGCAACAACTCTTGGAGTTATATGTCTCTTTGTATTCTTATGATTTTAGTTATTCTATAAATATGAGATATTTTGTAATATGGAGGACAGATTTGATAAATGAAAAAGTGTGTTGCAAGTTCTCAAACTTGTCTTAAATCTTGTTATCTTTATCTAACATTGGGCTAGTGTTCATCTTATAATTAGAGAACACCCTTAAATATAGGTAAATCCATCGTTATGTTATTTTCATATTCATGATCTTAATATAATTAGTTAATATCGGTAAGCTCATCGTTAATCTTTTTAAAATTAAATTAAATTTTTAACAATTACAAGGGATACTATATTTATAAATTTGAAATCTGAAAAAACAAAATTTAAAAAGGACAATTTTTATGGTGATAAGAATAAACCCAATATTTTCAGACGTCACCCGACGTTTGTAACAGCTTATACACTCTTTATGTCTAGAACAATAATAATCATTGAAACGGCCAAGATCTCAATCAGTATAAATAAAGTCATAGTGTTTATCTTATAATTAGAGAACACCCTTAAATATAGGTAAATCCATCGTTATCTTATTTTCATTTTCATGATCTTAATATAGTTAATTAGTCAATATAGGTAAACTGACCGTCAATCTTTTTTAAATTAAATTAAATTTTAACAATTACAAGGGATACTATATTTATATTTTATAACGAGAAGAAATATTTTTATTATCAAAAAAATTCACTACCTATATAATTATTATTGATATTTTTTTATCTTCATAAACTTTTCGACATTCTTTCTATTTCTGATTTAATCTCTTTCTGACCCAATAATAATTAGATATGTAGTTGGTTGATAATGAATTTTTCTGGAAATAAAAATATCCTCCTTATTAATAACTGACAAAAAAAAATTAAAATCTGAAATCTGAAAAAATAAAATAAAAAATGGACATTTTTTTTACGGTGATAAGGATAAATTCAATATTTTCAGACGTCACTCTGACGTTTGTAACAGCTTATACACTGTATGTTATATATTTATAGAGCAAGGATCTGCATTTACTTTCAAACAAGTTAAGACATTCCTGTGAAAGAACACACATTCCCATTGTGTCTCTTTCTTCTTCTCTCTCTCTCTCACGTAGGAGAATCCGAGAAACTAGTAAATTGGTGGGCATCATTCATTTCTTTTACTTTCTGTTGAATGTTCATGACCAAATTTGAAATGATTCTTGTACTGTTTGATGAATGGTTAACTTTGCAGTTTTCAATTTCCAAAACAAGTGTAGTTGTTTAGCTTTATGAATGACATGGTTTGTGTCTTGTGTAGAACTTTTCATTTGGATTCTTTTATGCTTACCTTCATCAGATTAATTTTTCTGAGGTGGTTGTTGTGTTTGTATCTTAACAAGAATCATAATTGAAAGAGTAACCTGAACCTTTGTTTTGATCTCATTGTGAAGTTGTATTGAGGAGAAGAAATGGCCAAAATTCCCATCTTCTTGGTGGGGCTTATGCTCTTACACTGTTGGGTAGCCATGACTGAGGCAGAATACTTGAAATATAAAGATCCAAAACAGCCATTGAATGTTCGAATCAAGGATCTTATTAATAGGATGAGTTTGGAAGAGAAAATTGGCCAAATGGTTCAGATTGATCGCAGTGTTGCTTCTTCTGATGTGATTAATAAGTATTTTATTGGTAAGGTTTCGTTCTATCCCATATACTGGGAAATGGGAATATTTGCATATTTTATTTAATCATTTATTTTTTATTTTTTTGTGGAAATTGAATTGTCCTTTTTTATAGGGAGTTTGCTAAGTGGGGGTGGCAGTGTTCCAAAGAAACAGGCTTCTGCAGAGGATTGGGTTAACATGGTGAATGATTTTCAAAAGGGTGCTTTATCAACTAGGCTAGGGATTCCAATTATATATGGGATTGATGCTGTTCATGGCCATAACAATGTCTACAACGCAACAATTTTTCCTCACAACGTTGGGCTAGGAGCTACCAGGTAAATCACAAGTATGCTTATATATCTGATGTGTGCCAATTTGAGTTTTAATTCTTGAGAATTGAAGATTTCCTATATTCAACTTTGCTGGACTGATTGACTATTTCAAAAGGTGCTGTGTGTTGTAATGTTGAACTTCTAATATAACTCGAAACTGAATTGTATGCAAGTTAAAAATAAAATGGATCCTTGTGTTGAGATATATAGTCCCACATTGATTGGATGGGCAACTAATATGGCATTTCTAAGGCCTTGGGCACTCCCACCCCTTGAGCTAGCTTTTGGGGTGGTGTATCCCAAGGTTCTTTACATGGTATCAGAGCCTCACAACAAAGACTTTTTGAAGTTATGATTATATTTACTAGAGATGGTGCATAAACCACATAAACAATTATTAACCAAATTAACAATTACAAGTGGTTGAGACCTATAACGAAAGCGAAATTCTCTTGCCCAAAACATTACGAATGATGTTATTAAATATTTGATTTATTAAAGTATTCATGGTTTTGTTGGTTAGCAAAATGAACATGACAGGAAGTCATAATAATATAAACATTTCGTGTTTAGATTAATGTTGTGAATTCTTCTTTGGTTATCTTTTTCTATGTCGTTATTTCTTCCTCTTCTCTCTTCATATGATGCTGAAACTTATTGTAGACTCACTTTTCCCAAAACTTGAATATTTTACTATGCTCCTGTATCTTGATCCTGAAGTTAATCTCTGAACAAGCAGGGACCCTGAACTAGTGAAGAAGATTGGAGATGCAACTGCTCTTGAAGTTAGAGCAACTGGAATTCAATATGCCTTTGCACCTTGCATTGCGGTAATTGAGAAAATCCAAGTTATAACAAACCATATCTGTTTGTTCTTACAAAGGGATACCATATTTGTTTGAATAGGTCTGTAGAGATCCAAGGTGGGGACGATGTTATGAAAGTTATAGTGAAGATCATAAAGTAGTTCAAGCTATGACTGAGATCATTTCAGGACTGCAAGGTGAAATCCCTGCAAACTCACGAAAGGGTGTTCCATTTGTTGCTGGAAAGTAAGTAATTCATGATGTTGCAGGAATTAGTCTAGTTTTATATCTGTGTTTTCTATCTGATTACGTATGAGAATTGATCATATAAAACATTGTTTTTCGCAGTTTTTCTTTAGATTTTGTTATTGATTTTGGAACTTTCTTACACAATCCTTTTGTCTTACACTATCATGTTTTTCTTGTCTTTTCCTTTATATTTTTTAGACTATTCTACTTAAAACTAATTTTTTTCTGCATTCCTAAGACATGAGGATAATGCAACTTGTCTTGGTGTTGGTGTTTGATGTACTGGTGTTTCTTTGTTCAGAAAGAAAGTTGCAGCTTGCGCTAAGCACTATGTTGGTGATGGTGGAACCACCAAAGGAATCAATGAGAACAATACAGTTATAAACAGGCATGGATTGCTTAGCATTCACATGCCAGCCTACTATAACTCAATCATTAAGGGTGTTGCAACCATCATGGTCTCTTACTCAAGCTGGGATGGTGAAAAGATGCATGCTAACCGTGATCTAATCACTGGCTTCCTCAAGAACACACTCCGTTTCAGGGTAATCTTTACCTCATCATGTCCTTTGAATTCAGCATTATGAATCCTCACATTAAATGAGGCTTAAAATCCTTTAACTTCTTGCAGGGTTTTGTCATATCAGATTGGCAGGGAATTGACAGGATTACTTCCCCTGCTCATGCTAACTACTCGTATTCCATTTATGCCGGAATCACTGCCGGAATTGACATGGTAAACTATGAGTTTCAAGTCTGTTGATTATATATAGCTTTATCTGATTCTCCATATAGACTTATTATACTCTAACTCTTGTTATCTTAATGCTGCAGATAATGGTTCCCTATAACTACACAGAATTCATAGATGGCCTAACCTTACAGGTGAAAAACAATATCATACCCATGAGTCGAATTGATGATGCGGTGAAGAGGATTTTGAGGGTCAAATTTGTTATGGGTCTGTTTGAGAATCCATTGGCTGATTACAGCCTAGTTAACGAGCTTGGAAGTCAGGTTAGTTAATCAGTAGTCTTACGTATAATGTTTATTTACCTACTATTTTATACCATGATGATAAATTAGATTGGCACCATTACTTGACAGGAGCATAGAGAATTGGCCAGGGAAGCTGTGAGAAGATCTTTGGTCCTATTAAAGAATGGAGAAGGTGCTGATACTCCATTGCTTCCTCTTCCTAAAAAGGCTTCAAAAATACTTGTTGCTGGAAGTCATGCTGATAATCTTGGCTATCAGTGTGGTGGCTGGACCATTGAATGGCAAGGACTTAGTGGCAACAACATTACTAGTGGTATAAAATATAAATTCATTTTCAAAATGTTTTCCTTATTGTTTAACATTATCTTTGTACTGAAAACACAATCTTAAACAGGTACTACAATTCTCAGTGCTATTAAAAACACTGTTGACAAAGATACCAAGGTAGTTTACAAGGAGAACCCTGATTTAGACTATGTTAAGTCTAATGGTTTTGAATATGCAATTGTGGTAGTAGGAGAGCATCCATATGCTGAAACAAATGGTGACAGCTTGAATTTGACAATCTCTGATCCTGGTCCAAATACCATAAACAATGTCTGTGGAGGAGTCAAATGTGTTGTTGTACTCATCTCTGGTCGCCCTGTGGTTATACAACCATATCTTGACATAATTGAAGCCCTTGTTGCTGCTTGGCTTCCAGGTACTGAGGGTCATGGTGTGACAGACGTCTTATTTGGTGACTATGGTTTCACTGGGAAGCTTTCAAGGACATGGTTTAAGACTGTTGATCAGTTACCAATGAATGTTGGAGATTCTCATTACGACCCCCTCTTCCCATTTGGATTTGGCCTTACAACCAAACCTCACAAGGCCACATAGGAACTCAAGATAATGGTACCATTTACCATTCTCTATTAAAGTTCCATTTACCATTCTCTATTTAAACATTGTCATATGTGTAGCTTGGAATTTCAGTAATTAAGTGCTGGGATGCTTACATATTTTTTAACCTCAATTGTTAAAGCATCAATTTCCAAAATTGTAATTCCCTTTTGCATTTTCTATTACTTTGTAATCTCTATTTTCAGCACCTATTAAAGAGATGAAGGATAATTCTGTTCAATTCCTAGCTGCTGTCTGTGTGGCTTAAAATTGATGTTCTCTCCTAATCTTGGGCTTACTTCATGTGTTCTCCAAAGCGTGGGCCTTTAGTTTTGGAGTGCAAACAATGCAATGGCTTTTTATAATTAGTTTTGGACTTTTGGGTAATGTTCAATAAAAAAATTCAATTTCAAGCTTATTGATAATAATTTTTTTAGTGAATATTAATATTATAAATCATAAAAAGAAAATAAAAAAATTTAGACTTTTTGTCAGTTTGACCCGGGTACAGGAAGAAGATGACATAAATGACACTTTTTTCAGTTACCAAAATGACACCTCAAATAACAAGTCTTTTTAACTATGAAGCTTCATAATGAAGTCATTGAGTTTGAAAAATGCTTTATTTTTTTTTATACTGATTCTAATTACTCTTTGAAGTGAGTCCACTCTCGGATATTTTCATAATTTTCAACTCTTTGAATCAATTATGAGATTAATTTCAAGTCGAGCGGTTAAAATTACTTATCCCTTCCCAAAAATGTATTTGATGGAAATCGAGCTTAATTAACATTGCATTAAATGCCATATTATGCTTTTATGAGTTATCATCACTTTCACCATTTACCATTCTCTATTTATCCCGTCCTCATTTCTCCCTTCCTTAGAGGATCAAGTAACCATTGTTAAGTTTAGCAAGTAATGAATTTTTATTGCAACATTTTGTCAGAAATTGGAGAAATTTTATATGATAAATTTTTTTTGCAAAATTTGGGAAAGATGACACAAGGTAGTCGAAATGTATTTTTATAGAATGGTAGAATAGTGATAATTTGAAACTCTAACACTGTTAAAGAATTATTTTAAAAAAAAATAAAACACATAAGGATAAAAGATAAAAAAAATAAAATAAAACAAATATAAGAGAATAATTGATTCAAAGACAAACCACGGGGAGTTCAACTTCTCATTTCTTTATTCTAATAACACAAGTAAACCCAATACAACCATAGTCACAATTTGTGAAAATAGAAATTCATATAATGCATTAAGTGAAAATAGTACTGAAATAGGGATGTCAAGAAATTTTATAGTCGTAGTACAATTTCTTCAGGGCCTAACTCCTACGGTTTCAACTTACTTGCTCCATAAACAGATCAAAGAGGGAGTAACGTGGATGCAGTTGAAACACAAATCTCCATTCAAAGATTTAAAATAGATTAAGATCTCGAATTTTACTCCACCCTAATAAACAAAAATCTTCGAAAAACCAACACTACAGGATCGTATAATTATTTACTACTGGGGGAGCCTGATTGCAAAGTACTGTAAGTCACAAAAGCATAAATTTGTATAAGAAAGCTCATATTTTTTGCAAAGTACATTTTTTTTTGTCTCTATCGTATAAGAAAGCTCATCTCGTATAACATTATAAATATAAAACTCTTAATAAATAGTGTTTTAAATTAAAAAAACGTGTATTTAATGTTAATAAAAAATTATACGATTTCTCTATTTAAAAAAGGGTGTAACAGAGAATTATAAAACCAAAAAAATATTTTTTATTTATGTCAATTTGTATTCGAGGGCAATCAGTTAATTCTCTTGATTAGAAAAACAAATCAATTTTATCAAACGCTACTTTTAACCATTTTTGTTCTCTTATAACCTAAAAAAATAGAAGAAAAACATTTATGAAAACGTCGTAATACAGATATAAAATGCATAGGAAATAACCATAATTAAGAGCCTATATGTTCTTAACCAAACAAATAAAGATGGATCCACGAGTCCAAATAAATCATCAACATTTTATTTATTTCAGCTCTAATCATGTGGATAAATCATATATATGATCTACCACATGCTTGAGTCTAAATTCTTATTAAACATAAACTTTCCCAAACTCAAAGTAAAACAAGTACCAAGATGTCAACACTTGAAGTTGAAACCTAGTCGTCATCACTTGTCTTTTCACCAACCAAATTCATATGTCTCGGTAGAAGAACTCCTTAAAAGCTTCCATATGAGCATTTTGTAAACGAATGGCTATGGAAATAGACTCATCCCCTATTGGACTTGGCATGATGAATGCCTTTCCATCTCCTTTCACAACACCAGGACCCATATACACAGGCTTTCCCCACCCAAAATCAGGTCCATAAAGTGGCATATTACTCATCCAGCTCCAAATGTTAAGGTTAGGATTCCCAAGAAATGGGCTTTCCACACACCCTAAATAGTTGAAGGAGGGTCTAAGACATGCCACATTATGCTGACTCCCTATAAAATCAAACGCTGACCTCAAATACTCATCTGTTACCATTTCAATCGCTTCTCTTATCTTATGTGCCCCATAGCTCAATGGTTTTGACACAATATCCCCACTCAGGCATGTGTGTGTCACTGTTGGATGTGTTGCGTTTCCAAAATAGTTTAGAGGAAGTGGTGGCTTTAGTCTGTTTCGAGTACCAGTAACAATCTGAACCACCGTTGGTTGATTGTGATAACCATGACGAGCCTTGCATGCTGACTTCCAAATATGAGCAGCAATGCTTTCATATCTGCTATAAGGTCGACGATGCACCACAGTCTCATCACCTTCCATGAACTCATTGGCTCTCTTTTTCAGCTTTCCCACCATTTCTCTTGTGAGTTTCATCATTGCCAGTGTTGTCTCCTTCTTATGCTCCAATGTGGTGTCAGAGTTGCCTAGTATAAGAGGCAAAGGCCTGAATTCTGGGTGGTCAAAGTGTAGTGCTTTATTAAGGGTTGCCTCAGATCTTAAAGTCATTCGATTTAAAAATGGCATCTCATCTTTCTCCAAGCTACCTATTGGAAATTCCAACGCGACTGATGAGTATACAAGTTCAAAATTGTCTAGCAATTGAGAAGTAAGGATCATATGAGTGAAAAAACCCATTACTTAAAAGAAATCTCACACTTAATGCTTAAGGCATATAAATTTGGGGATTAATGTTTCTAGAAGATAATTTTATTTTTAATATACACATAAATGTGTGTGGAACTCAAGTGGAGCCATGTGAAATGAAATATTTTAGGTACATCCATCGTACCAGTGACTCGGTGCGATGGGCCAATCGTAATGAGACATTTTCTGTGTAATATGTGTACTGAAAGAAAAAAAAATTAATTCAAGTGTCAATTTTTGAATGGAAGTCCTCGATACACCAGGTGTAGCGAAAATAAAATGCTCTTTATATGAAAAAAAGAGATAAAAAAAATATGAATTTCACATACTTTTATGTGTATATAAAAAATATAATTATCTTCTACGCTATGAGAAATATTAATCCCATGAACTTAATATATTAATATTTTAAACTAAAATATGATGTGAGCCTCACTTATTGTGATTTGAGTTTCCTACTAAACATACCTTCTCTCGCAAGCTTAGCCCATGAATCGACAAAGAGAGTGCCAGCAATTCCATCAACAATGACATTGGAAATGACAAAGCCAACACAAAGGCCACCACAGATGAACCTTGTCAACTGTACCAGCAAGAGTGGCAACTTCTCCATAGGCTCACTATAATCAACTTTTGGAAGAAGCTCGCTGATTGTGTCATTAGGTTCAAAGTCACCATACTCATCTAGTGCTCTTGTGGATTCGGCTTCCAATAGCTTTACACCCATTGAATTGCAATCCACTTCAAATCTGCCACCACTTATCATGCGTAAACGGCCAGCTAGTGGGTAGTAGTGGACTAAGATCTTGCCAAGAGAGTCTCTCATTGTGTCAATCATGTTATGGATTTTGAGATTGGGCTTGTGATTTTCCCTGTAAATGTAGATAGTGAGTGAGTGAGTGTGAGCATTAATTTGCTCACTATCAGATAACACGAGGCTACCATTTGGAGTGGCTTCACTTGGAATGACCATGTAAGAAGATGTAATGCTCACCATACTAACTTGTGTTTTACCCTTTTTAGTTCAAAAAACCTACACGTCCATATGTATATGGAGAGAAAGAGAGAGAGAGAGTACAAAGATTTTGTTTAGATTCCGGAAAGCGACTTTTTGGAAATCCTATTTACGCATCTTTTAGCTGTGCACATTTTTTTAAGACAAAATGTCATTCAAAAACATTACCGTTTTGGTGGTATTCTTAGATTGAGATGTGCGAAAATATTTTGGTCTACGCGCCACCAGTGCCAAGCAAATTCACTCCTGTGCCACTAGCCCCAATATTCCCGGTGTTTTTCTTCCCGCACCAATAGTGTGGTGACGACACCACTAGCGTCACCTTACATTTTCGTTAATATTCGATGATCAATTAAATATATAATTAATAAATTTGAGCCAATATTTTAAGAAATATTTTGGCTTATCAAATAATTTTTTGGTCACAATTTTGAGAAATTCATTTTCTTAGCATATTCCTAATAATTGTGGTTCACCGATAAAAAAAATTTCTGCTCTAATAACAGCCGCTTGTAGCTTAAGAGCCTGTTTGTTTTGTCAGGAAAAGTAATTTTTATCTCTTCTTTATTTTAAAAGTATTTTTTACAAAAGTTAAAGCTATTTATATTTTTATAAAAGTATTTGAGTTTTAACTTCTGCTTTTTTTAAAATTTAAAATTTTTAACTTTTAAAAAAGTAAGTTTTTTATTTATTTTTTTGTGACTTCTGCTTTTTTAAAAACAGACATTTAAACAAACTTAAAGTGATAAGTGCTTTTTTTCTTAAAAAAATAACTTTTGGAGAAAAAAAAAACTCATTCAAACGGTAATCAAACACATGTTCTTCTTTTTAGATAAAAAAAAATAGTGCACAATTGATTAGAAAAAAAATATTTTTTTAGATAAAAAAATATTGTCTCCTTCTTTGTTTAGATAAAAAAAAAGCTTTTATCACGTGTACATGTTCTTCTTTTTTCTTTTCTTCTCTTTTATGTTATGTATGTAATCAAACACATTTTATTTATTTAATTAAAAATGTAAAAATAGTGCACAAAAATCAATACGTAAACTGTTATTTTTACATGCTTCTATTATATTTGTTTTATATGATTTTTTTAGATAACAAAATAAGATAAACGTATCTTACATACAAATCTTTTCTCTTTTAAAATAGTAAAGGTGTTGGAAAAGTTTACCGGGAAAAAAAAAAATACTCCCTTTGTGAACAATTGATTCACGCTAGCCACAGCCATATTGGTTTTTATTTATGGGAGTTATTAATCTTATATTGCATAAGATAGGTATTTTATGTGTGTGAAACAAAGTTGTGTACCCACAATTTTAAGAAAAAGAAAAAGAAAAAAAAATGGGCACAAGATTTCATGTGTGTACAACATAAGATAGTTGTCTCACGTGATATAAGACAACTATTTCTCTTTATTTATAAGCAGTCACATTTTTTCAAGTAATTGTAAATTCCATTTTGCAGTAATATGATGTACTTTATTTTTCTTTTTTTGGATTACTTAATGTGACTTCTTCAATCGGTGTAGATAGCATTGAATGCCCTTATGCCCACTCTGGTCAAGGGAACCACAATGGAAATAGGATTGAATGTCCTTATGCCCATTATGGCATTAAGGGGACCCACGCATTCTCAATGGTATGAAGAAGTGGAGAAAACTTCAAATGGGGCTGATGGCTTAGAAAGACCCACCGACAGGGTTGTTAAACAAATCAGCAGTTTTGAGTAAGGGTGTACAAAAAAACTGGTTCACTTGTTCTGTCCTTGATCCGACCTTGACCCAACCTATAAATACCCATATTTTTTGAACTGGTTTAAATACTGATCCACTTTTATTTGGGTCAGTTTTAGACCTGACTCGTTTTAATATTGACCCACTGACCCAAAACTTGACCCATACCCATTATGTGAAAAAAAAATCACAATTATATTAAAAGAAAAGTTTTAACGTAAAACAATTACATCAAAATTTTTGACGAAAAAAATTTTTCATCAAAATTTGTGACTAAAAACATATCGGTAAAAAAAATTGACAGAATATTTTTTTTTTCAAATTTTTTTACGGAATCTAAATTTCGTCAAAATATTTCACAAAAAAATATATTCATAAAATCTTTCGACGAAACACATTTTCATCGAAATTCTTTGACGGAAAAAAATTTCATCAAAATTCTTTACAGATTTCAAATTTCGGCTTTTCGACGGAAATATTTTCGTTAAACTTTTTGACAAAAAAAAATTTCGTCGAAATTTTTAGCGAAACACATTTCTATCAAAAATTTTCGACTAAATATTTTCGTCTAGTTTTTTGATAAAGAATATATCCATCAAAACTTTCAACGGAACACATTTCTGTAAAAAAAAATCGTAAAATTTTTTGACAAAAATATTTCGATAAGAAATTTTGACTGAAAAAATATTTTGTCTAAATTCTTTAGAGAATCTAAATTTCGTCGAAAATTTCAAATGAAACATTTTCCTCAAAACAATTTCCATTGAAAATTTCGACGAAACACATTTCCATAAATAAATTTCGACGGCAAAAAATTTCATTAAAATTCTTTACAGATTTCAAATTTCGGCAAAAATTTTCAACAGAAATATTTTCGTCATTAAAAAATTTTGACGGCAAAAAATTTCATCAAAATTCTTTACAGATTTCAAATTTCGGCGAAAGTTTTCGACGGAAACATTTTCGTCATCAAAAAATTTTGACGGCAAAAAATTTCATCAAAATTCTTTACAGATTTCAAATTTCGGCGAAAGTTTTCGAAGGAAAAATTTTCGTCTTCAAAAAATTTTGACGGCAAAAAATTTCGACGGCAAAAAAATTCATCAAATTTCTTTACAGATTTCAAATTTCGACGAAAGTTTTCGACGAAAAAATTTTCGTTAAATTTTTTGACAAAATTTTGTGAGAAAACCAAGTCAAAAACGGGTCAGGTCAAATTTGACCGAGTTCAGAAACCAAGTCAGACCCACTTCAGAAACCAAGTCAGGTCAGATCCAAACTGGTTCTGAACTAGTTCAACAAAATCCAATCCAAGTCAGACCTCACTTGGATCAAATTAAAGCGGGCCGGGTCAAAATACCTGACCTATAAAAACCAAGTTGGGTCGAGTCGGATAAAAACCTGACCCGACCTGACCCATGCACCGCCCTAGTTTTGGGATTGTAAGTTGTTAAGAATTGAGTTTATATGTTTAAAATTAATTATTGAGATTAAATTTAAATTTGTATAAAATTTCATTTAATAATAAAATTTAGACTCTAATTCAAAGTCCGATCTTACAGTCTTTTAGATTAGTTTAGTATATTAATTTTTATTTTTATTTTATATTTTTTATATTACTAAATACTAATAGCCCTCTTTCTCCTCAACTCATTTTACCACATTTTATTAGTTAAATAAATTTTTTGAATGATTTTGTTTTATATTATGTTGTTTGAATTTATATTGAATTTATAAATCTTTGTGTAATGATTAATGCTATTGATCGGACATTTTGTTTAGATATATTTTTGTTATTTTATTTTTTTATTGGAAAAATATACTCTTATGTTGTAGGAGAGAGTTATTTTCTCCTACACATAAGTCGATTTCCGTGTTATTTTTTATTTATTTTTCTTTTTATAAATAGGTTGATCTCACACATAATTGTCTCTATAGTATAAGAGAGCTTCTCTCATATTGCACGAGATTAATAAAACCCTTTTTTTAATAGCATAAACTAGACTTTTATTTTTATAAATAAATCAAGTCATAAGTCAATAATTATATTCATAAAAGATAATAGATTAGGCTATACTAATATATTTAAACACAAATTTAACTTTTTAAGACTAAAATACCGCCCACTCATGAATAATTGAAGTATAGATGGAAGAGTTTGAAGTTCGTGAAGCTGTAAATGTATATACTGAGTGCATAAGTCAGACAACAGTTTTGGTGTTCCCGTGATAACAATTATTCATTACATCATTTATTAAAGGGTCCCCAATTTCTTTTTTCATTGCAAAAAAAAAATTTGTGCAGCAATCAAATATAACTAAGTATTACAAATAATATTTACAAAAAAAAAAAGTATTACAAATAATACATAATTATGATATTAAAGTTATTTTTCTCTCCTCTTCACATTGGCTGACAACTATATGAGAAGAGAAAAAAATAGCTTTTAAAATTACTATATACTACCAATATTACATAGTTGTAATTGATATTACACAAAATTTCTTGTGCAATGTAAGGAGAAGTAGATTTTCCTTTATTAAATATGGTAAAAAAAGTTATACTTTTGTATTATCTTCTCCTTCTAGTTATTTACTTATATATATTCTATATTTTTCTCTTTTTGTCAAAGGAGTATGTACTCTTAATACACCAAAAATGAGCTCCACGACTCAATGTTTACTTTCAGTATTGTGGATCTTGAGTTTATCACTCTAAAGCTAACTCAAAGGTGAGATTGTTCAAGGCCATATAAATCTCATATTAATTGCTTACTTAATCAATGTGGGATAACACTAACCAGTTATAACCATTTTTTCCTTTGAGCGGCTTCAACCCCTATCAGTATCAAGTACCAAGGCACTTTAATCTAGCTTATAGATAACATTTTTTATGGTCTCAACTCTCAATAAAAGTACCAATATTACAGACATTGAGGTCACTCCCCAAAAGCTAATTAAAAGAATACTTGAAGTAAGCTATGCTTGGAATGATAGTAAAAGATTATGTAATTAAAGGTGACAAAATAAATTTGGCCCAACGAAACGGGGGCTAAGGTTATCAACTCGCTAGCCGGCTCGCTCTTTATTTTTTCTGTACACTTAACTTTACTATATAATTATAAAAATAAAAACAGTATATATAATTCCAAACCAAGGAACACTTTGCATGTTAGTATAAATTATACAACACTCCCGACGATTGAGGTAATATTGATCATCTCTTTCGCGTAAACGACAAGAGAAAG